CACCAGAAGATGAACTGTCATGATTTGTCCTCACTTCAAACTCTTCCCAGAGTTTAATTCTAACATTTTATTATGACTAAAAATCATGTGGGGCCCTTGTTAAAAGTGCAGCCCAAGATAGTATGGTTTGGTAGCTCTGGGTTAAGTGCCCAGGAGCTACATTTTAAACATGACACCCAGCCAAGTCTTATGTGTGTGGGTTACAATTCAGACTGTGAGGTCTTCTCAGGGGCAATGGGTTTGTCTTACTTGTCTCTGTGTGTTCCAGCTACCTGCACCTGGGGCAGATAGTACTCATTGAAGATGTCTGTGAGATGAATGGATGGATGGAGGGAGGGAAGGATGGAAGGAGGGATGGAGGGTGGGAGAGATGGATAGAAGAATGGAGGAAGGAATGGAGGAAGGGATGGAGGGAGATATGCAGGGATGGAGGGAGGGATGAAGGAAGGGATGGAAGAAGGAATGAAGGAAGGGAGAGAAGGAGGGATGACGGGAGGGATGGAGGGAAGGATGGAGGGAGAAATGGAGGGATGGGTAAACAGGGAAGGAGGGCGGGGGCAGTGAAGGAATGGGGAAAGGGTAGAAGGACAGATGGATGTATGGATGGAGGGTTGGAGGGATGAAATGATGGAGAGAGGGGTGAAAAGATGGATGAGGGATGGAAACCAGTCTCCTTGCAGGAAGGTGTGACTGCCTGCAAACCACTGGTTGAGCTATAACAAACTTGGGCAATCATTTATGTCTTTTCTAAAACCTGAGGAACATTTTGATATGTCTTAAATAAGGATAAGTGAGTCCCATCCTAAATATGAAATACTCTGTCACTTTTCTCTGATTTCAAAAGTCATCAAAGCAGAATGTGCACATCTCGATTACCTCATTGTTTCTGCACCAGCTCACTGCCCGGCTTATCCTGCTTGGCATATGCAAATTAGAGAGATGCCTGCATTACAGGCACGCTGCAATCCCCATGTCTTCACACTGAATTTGGATTTGAATAGTGCTAAATGGGTCTTCACATTTGGCTTTGGTGGTTAATTTGACCATTCATAGCATGTTTTCATATTTCTTCATGACAAATATAAACATAATTAGCTCTTATTCAAAAATAATTTGGTTGTAGAATGCAGTGATTTCTAAACATGTCCTCCATTTTAAGAAACTCTAATATGCTAACATTCGAAATCATGGAGTGCGTAAATTCAGCATCTATTCTTCTCACAGTAGTTTTTGGCTTTGGGCTTCACTGTAGGAGGCCTACAGACAATGGGATCCTGTAATGCATTTAAGATGTTACCCACTTGGCAATAATTGGATGACTCTTTAAGGAATGTAGTAGCACCTCCATTAAAGCAATTATCTTGTTATTGTGTGGCTATTTCCATATCTGTTTCTCTGGTTCACTGTTTCTTAATAAATTTTATCCTATTTATCTTTGTTTCCACAGTGTCTTAAATACCCGGTGCCTAATGAATGCTTTAGGTATTTAAAGGGTGTTTTCACACATCTCTGTATCTCTCAACACTTCTGAAGTATCATGGGAACCCCCCCATATTTATGAAATGAACATCCTTACAGATAGGCAGATCATCCTGTATTATGATGTACGAGTACTGCATAGCTGTGGGAGGAAAATGAAAGGTTTAAAGACTCCTTGGATATTTCTTCATATTATAAAATAAGAATGACCTTTGCAACTCTACTTAGGTTCAGCTGCTTGTGAATTACGAGGGGTTCCTCAAGGAACAGACATTTCCCAGAGCCTCCTTACCCTCAGAAGACCACAAAACTTCTCTGCAGAAAGTATTACACTTTCTCAGTCCACTGAGGACTCCCTGTGTCAGGTGAAGTTTTATTATTGTCCTTAGCACTGACAGAATTGCTTGCAGGATGTTTCAGCTCATTTCTTCCTGTTGTCATCTGTGATTCTCGACGGTGGTGACCTTTACAGTGCATGTGTGGCCTCTCCCTCTGTTCTGATTCCTGATTCTCCTCTTCCTTTCCATCTAACAGAGTATACAGCCCTGTCACAGATAATGACTCCAGACAGCCAAAAATCAACAGACAGGAGATTAATGGACTGGGTTATTTTATAACTAATCCACATAATGATTTTTCCCTTTTTTATTTAAAGATTTGTGTGTGTGTGTGTGTGTGTGTGTGTGTGTGTGTTTTAGATATAACCAAGAATGAACTTTTCCAAAGGTCACTTAATTACTAGGGGAAAATAGAAAGTGGTGCAGATAGTGTGTGTTTATAAGCATGTGGTGTGTGTGTGTCTGTGTGTGTGTGTGCACTTGTCTCCAAATTAAATTTTTTGGCCAAATAATCAAGTATTAGGAAAGGCAAACTACCCAGAGTGATTCTCACTCAGGATTTAGACTCTAATGGCAAGCTCTAATGGCTCACCTGCATGGACTGCAGTCAGAGAAGGTGCACACTCGCCTGAGGTGGCAGGCTGGGCTTGACTGCACCAAATGCTGGGCGTCCCGCTGAGTGGTCCAGCTTTTCTGAGTGGTTGGTGTCAGTGATGCCATTGAAATGCCCAAGAAATGAGCTGAAACATCCTGCAAACAATTCTTCCATGGTAAGGAGTATAATAAAACTTCACCTGACACAGGGAGGCCTCAGCAGACTGAGAAGGTGTAATTTTTTCTGGAGAGAAGTTTTGTGGTCTTCTGAGGGTGACGAGATGCATGTGCCGGGGTTACCCATCCCTCCCACCAAGGCCTCATTATCACCTCAACTTTACTCTGGGGCTGGAGTGCAGGGATTCGAATGAAATTTCTGATTCTCATGGTTTCATTTAGGCCACTCCAATTATTGATATGATTTTACTATATTGATTTTATTGCATTTAATTCCCATTTCAAATACCAAGAGAAGTTAAGGAATTGGTTCATAAAATATTTACGATAATTGGCCAGACTATAAAAGGGGGGTGCCCTTAATTCACAAAGAGGAGAAGTCACAGGATTTGCTTCTCAGGTCTTGGTCCAGCCCAGCCTTTTTCACCTCGTGCATACTACACACACACTGGATGCTCTGCTGAAGTTGTGTTGTCACCTGGGACTGACACGTGCTTTCCGTGGCATCATTTAATACAGTCGTGGTACTTTGCAAAATGGAGTAGAATCATTGGAGTAAATCATCGTGGCTCGAAATAAAAGCATCTGTTTTACAGAGAAACGTTCACTGAAGCTAGCCCATGTGGATGGAACTTTGAGGAAGAACCACATTCCCAAACCCTACAGACAGCTCATTAAAAATAGGGAGTGTCTTAAGGAATGTGGCAGGCATTTCTCCTTTTATTCATGCTGGCAGACTGATAAATACTTCACCGAATATGGCTTCAGAGCTTCAGCCCAAATGCTTAAATGCATTCAACCAAAAGCTCAACTGTCTTGGGCCACACAGTTTTAGCGGACTGTTCCTAGTCCACTGCTTCTGGTCCCTAATAACCACATTGCGGATAAACTTCGTTTTTGAAACCATTTTTCCCCATTTCCACTTTCTCTTCTTCAGATCCCTAACATATAAAATGCTCAGTTTTAACTATTTCCTCAGAAACAAAAACAGTCCTGTAGAGGCAAAATGCTTAAACCAGAAAACCAGGTCCCCCAGTCAAGTGAGGTGTTGTTTGGAATGATGCAGGGTTTTAAAATGGCACGAATTTTCTATTTAGGATGGCCTCAAACATGGACCAGCTAGTTCTCAGTCAGGCAATTTCTGTCTGTTTCATAAACGAATCTAAAACACGCATGGAAATGGTGGCTCCTATGAGGGCCGGCTCACAGCCCGAGCCTTACGCCATCCCCTGACATTTTGGCGTGGTGGATAGAGAGGAGGCGGATGAAGGATTTCAAGGCTGAAAGAAGACAAATCTGCCCGTTCCTGTCCACCAGGCATCAGGTTCCAGGTTCTGGAAACAGGACGGGGGCGGGCTGTCTGCTTCCTTGCATGGGCTGGAGTGCAGGGTGGCTGTGAGCTTACTCACTCCAACATTCGTTTCATTCCCAGCAGCTCCAGACCTTGAGGGCTGATCTTCCCAACTCATCTCCACATTCCAACAACCGGAAGCCTCTGCTGGGTCTCATACTCTGGATTCAAAGCATCGCTTCTCTTGAGACGCTTTCCTCGTTTTGGTTGAATAGGATGTTTCTTTCCAAGTTTCCAACAGTGTTTCCGGTCTGTTGGGTTTTTCCTCCCTGGCCCCCACACTAGCTGGGTTGCTTGGCCACACCCTGGGCTGAGCGGAGATGTCTTCCTGCCATGCCTGTAGCTGAGCACGGACCCCCACAGCCCAGCATGGTCTCTCCTCAGGTTAACCCTGCCCCATTGAAAGGGTGGGTCAAATCTGCAGTTTTCAGAGCTGGCAGCATGGTGACCACGATTCACACAGGGCTAAGCGCATCCTGCACCTTGTGTTGACCCCAAGTCTATGGGACTAAGGAGAAGTCATCTTTTTCTGGGTCCCTTTCCTGCCGATGGCACTTTTATGTGAAGGAGTCACTCAGAGCCTTCGTTTCATTGATGCAACAGGTTGTGAGGAGGTGGAGACAAACTCTGGCTGTATTTTTACTGTTTTTGCTTTCTTCTTGCCTCTCACATACCTACATTTGCTCTGATTACAAAAGGGATTAAAAACGTATAAACAAAATCAAACAACACCAAACACAGCAGAAATATCAACCCATCCAGGCTGCAGTGGATTCTTGCCAAACTTTGAAAATTATCCAAGTCAATACTTCCATTAGAAAAGAGCTTTTCTGGCCATGAAAAGTGGAGCAGCAGCGATCCACAGAGGGAGCAGGTGTGGGGCTGCTCCCGCCCCTGCTCTGAAGTCCCCCTGGGAGCTCAGAGGATGAAGAGACAGCCATCGATGGCAGGTGCCAGCCCACCTGTGACCAAGTGCAGATTTGCAAAAAGGAATGCATTCCCAACAATACAGCACAGAAGGTTTGGAATAACTGCTTTTGATAGAAGTTCCAACAGTTTTGAAGTTACTCTCGCAGCAGCACTCCTGCATTCTGGCTTGGTGTCTTCAGATGGACAGGGGCGGGCTCACAGCTGGGGGTGGGCAGTGGAGAGGGAACACGGTCACACCTCTGATTATGGACCTTCCTGTGTGCTGTGGCCCCAGAGAGCCGAGAGCCACATGGGTCCGGAATTCAATCAGCACCCACAAAAGAACCATGTGCCCCGCAGCAGCAGTAACTAGCATCCAACAGAGAACCACCTGCCCCACAGCAGCCATAACCAGCATCCACCAGAGAACCACGTGCCCCGCAGCGGCGATAACCAGCATCCACCAGAGAACCACGTGCCCCACAGCAGCCATAACCAGTATCTGCCAGAGAACCACCTGCCCCACAGTGGCGATAACCAGCATCCACCAGAGAACCACCTGCCCCACAGTGGGGATAACCAGCATCCACCAGAGAACCACCTGCCCCGCAGTGGCGATAACCAGCATCCACCAGAGAACCATGTGCCCCACAGCGGCCATAACCAGTATCTGCCAGAGAACCACCTGCCCCACAGTGGTGATAACCAGCATCCACCAGAGAACCACGTGCCCCACAGCGGCCATAACCAGCATCCATCAGAGAACCACGTGCCCGGCAGCGGGAATAACCAGCATCCGCCAGAGAACCACGTGCCCCACAGCAGCCATAATCAGCATCCAGCAGAGAACCACGTGCCCCACAGTGGCGATTTCCTTCAGGCAGAATGGGACTCTTTCGTGATACCTCTTTTTCCTGGGCCACTTTCACCCTCTCACTCTTCTTTTTGATGTGTGCATCCCAGGCTCGCTGATCATGGTATTGCTATGTGTTTCTTTCAGCCAGGTTTTGTCCTGAATTTAGTCAGAACTAAGCTGCAGCTGTGCAGGAAAGTGTGGTTGGCTGGCAGTGCCCACATGTTGGGGTGTCCCATCCTCCCGCTCACTCTCAAAGATGGGCAGTTATGGTAAAATCAGTGAAAGTCAAATCCAACTTTTCAAGAATTCTTAACCCTCTGCCTGGATGTCCCATTTGATCATTAAAATCACCCTGTGATGAACCCCCTTTCTCAGCTTCCCCATACCACGGAGAAGGCTGAGGGAAGTCCTTCAAATGTACACACGGCCCCACAGAACCAGGACTGACACCCACAGGGCCTTGACTCTGAGGCCCCTGCCCAACCGCTGTGCACGCCGCTTGGCTGTCTGCTCACAGTAAACATCACAGCATCAGGAAACATTCAGGGAACGATGACTCCTGACTGCTGCAGTCTTCTCCAGGTGGGTCATTCCTAGGGAGGAGGAGGAGCTTTGGGAAGCCGGTCTTTCCCTCTCTCCTCCTCTTGGAGATTGCAGACCCACGGGAGGAGAGTACCCTTAGATGCTCTTGGACATGGATGGGTGGAAAGTCTCAGCCTCATCCAGCCCTGCCTGTGATGAGCTAGCACTTGAGGACATCAGTGGCACTCTGGCTCTGAGTTAGGAAACCTACTGCCCCAATGGTTCAGCCACCTCCTCTGCATCTTTGTCCACCTGACTGTATCGCAATGGGGATGACAAGCTGTTTAGGAAGAGTTTTTTTTTGCTGTGATCAGTTCTCGTCTTCTCTGCTACATTTATTACTCTTTTTAGTTAGTCCTTTTTTTGAACAAAAATCTCCCTCCATCTCAAAAACAAGAGCCTTGTTTGTGAATCACAGAAGAAAGTTATCTCCAAATTGGGGAATGCACAAAACTATGACCTGGAGAAAAATGTTGGAACTTCACCTTAGAGACTTGTATGATAAAAAATGCTTTTGCAGACACAAGAACAGGATGTGGTCATGACCTGCTGGTTCCCAACGACACAAGGAGAAAGAATGGAGCATAAAAGACAGATCCGGGGTGAAGAGAACTGAGATCTATACACAAGATATGAAGATAGTCAGGGCTTTTCTGACATAGGAAGTCATAGGAAGCCAGTACATAAAAACCAGGTTTTCAAACAACCCCATAAAAAAGTGGGCAAAGGACATGCACAGACACCTCTCAAAAGAAGACATCCATGCAGTCAATAAGCATATGAAAAAAAGCTCAACGTCACTGATCATTAGAGAAATGCAAATCAAAACCACAGTGAGATACCATCTTATACCAGTCAAAATGGCTAATACTAAAAAGTCAAAAAATAACAGATGCTGGTGAGAAAAAAGAACAGAATGTAAATTAGCTCAGTGGGAATGAGCTAGTGGGAATGTAAATTAGCTTAGCCATTGTGGTAAGCAATTTGGCAAGTTCTCAAAGAACTTAAAACAGAACTACCATCTGACCCAGCAGCCCCATTACTGGGTATGCACCCAAAGGAATATAAATTGCTCTACCATAAAGACACATGCATGCGCATGTTCCTCACAGCACTATTCATAATCGCAAAGTCATGGAATCAACCTAAATGCCCATCCATGGACTGGATACAGAAAATGTGGTACGTATACACCACGGAATACTATGCAGCCACAAAAAACAACCAGATCATGTCTTCTGCAGGAACATGGATGGAGCTGGAGGCCGTTATCCTAAGCAAACTAATGCAGGAGCAGAAAGCCAAATATCCATGTTCTCACTTATATGTGGGAGCAAAACACTGGGCACCCATGGCCACGAATGGGGGAGCAACAGATACTGGGAACTACTTGAGGGTGAGGGGTGGGAGGAGGGTGAGGACTGAAAATCCACCTCTCGGCCACTATGCTAATCACATGGGTAACAAAACAATCTGTACACCAAATCCCCACTATACACAATTTACGCATGTAGCAAACCTGTACATGTGCCCTTGAACCTCAAGTACGAGTTAACAAAACCCAGGTTTTGCAGGAGGCATCTGCGTGTGATTGAGCATGGCTGGGTCCTCCTAATCATGGCTCTCCCACCTGTGGCTGCGAGTCCTCACCCGAGCCACCTGCCTCACAGGATTTGGGTTCCATTTCTGTAAGATAATGGACTGGGTCAATGTTTCTAAAATTCACTGGCATCTGATTTACTCATCAAACCAACAGACCACGCTATAAGGCAGGGAAATAGGTTCCTTTGTTCAGCAGCGAAGGACTCAGTCAAGGTCGTGTGTGAACTCTTGGAGACTGGGTGGCCGTCACGGCAATGACCTGATGAGAAGATGATGCCTCAGCGTGCCCAAAGCTGCATGGCAGGAGAGGGAAGGGCTCAGAATATCTTCTCTGGTGTTGTTTGGGAATAACCCTGCTTTAACTAAAGAATTAAAGTTACACTCACAGAGGAAAGGTAAAAGGCAAGAATTGTCACAAAGCACAAGTGGGAGCTGAATGCTGAGTATACGAGGGGAGATACCTGGGCCAGTGACCTGACCCCCCAGGCCGCTGCAGGAGGCCGACCCCAGCACCCTTCTGGCAGCCACAGAGGGGGCCCACATGGACCCCATGCCTTTCACAGACTGTTTCCCAGGAGGCAAAATGTCAGCAACGGGTGCTGGTAAGGTGGTCAGAGCGAAAGCTGTGGACACGGCTGTGACTTCTGGAACGGGCACGGAGAGGCACTTTCACACACACTGTATCGTGGGGCCCCAAATGAACCAGGAGGTCAGCGTCAGCACCCACATTCTACAAGTGGGCAGGAGAGGGACCCTCAGCCTGGCTGTGCTGGGGGTTGGGCCAGGCCGGGCCCACACTCGTGTGCCTGCTGTCTCTTCATGCGGCCATCACTGTGTTTCCAAGCTCTGTACATAATGTCCTCTAGGCCAAGAAATAAATCAGACTGTGGGACCCAGGAGGGCATGTGGAGGGAAACACCGCAGCCTGCAGAGTGAGCCAGGAGGGCACGTGGAGGAAACCACCACAGCCTGGGAGGTGAGGATGCTTCACTCTCATGCCAGACCCACCTGTCACGGTGGCCACCCCTCAGGACGCCTCGTCAGACCCAGAACGGTGTCAGCATGGGCTGGACTGCAGTCCAGGGACTCTTTATGGACCAACACCCCTGACCTTAGAGGTGCTCAGAGAAGCTCCTTCCTTTGGAAACCCTGGCTGCTCTGCAGGTGAGGCAGCTCCGAGTCTGCGTATGCTGCTCCGGGCACCCAGCTGGCAAGAGGTAGAGCCAGGCTTAAGTTCAAGTCTGCCAACTCCCCAGGAGGCTTTCTCCCATTTCCATCAGAATGGACCCACCAGGACTTTTGCAGTGCCCTGTGGACTCTCCCGTGACCACACTTGTCACAGCTCAACTGACACCATGTCCTCCTGCCCTTGGGAACTGAGCCAGCCCAGCCTCGTGCACGTGGCTCTGCTGGTGACCTGGGTTCGCATCCGGGGAGCTGGCTGGACAGAAGCGCTGCTGCTCTGTGTCCTCCCGTGACTCTGATTATGAGGACAGCACCCCTTCTTTTTTGACGGACAGGACAAGAATTCTAGGGTCATGTACAGAGACCACACAGATGCGTGACCTGCCTATTCCAGCCTATTCTTAGCATTTGAATCCCTGTTTCTTGGCGTTGGAATCCAGAACAACTTTGCATGGCTGCTGCAGGCCGCCACGTGTGCTTGATGGAGGGACATTCACTTCGATTTCTCAGTTTAGAGAACTGAATAAAGGCTCTACAGCAAATCCCACAACCTGAGAGCCATTTCACTAAATACTTCTAATTTCACTAAAATCATCACAAATGAAACGTGGTTAAGGCAAAAGGAGAGACTGCCGGCAGAGGATGGCTTTCACCGCTGTGTGTATTATCGTCATGATCAGAAGAAAAATGCCCTGTATTTTTTCAAAGACCCATTCACACTTAGTGTTTGTGTAGTAACTTTTGTTCTGTTCGCCTTTAATTTTGCATACTTGAGTGAATTCACAATTCCACCGAGTGCATTGATTTAGAAAACTTCATTTTAAAAACAGTTAATCATGGTGCCATTGTTACAAACTCTCATGCCACTTTATTACTCCCCAAGCAGTGACAGGGTCTCAGATGTGTGGGTGAGAGAGTGGCCAGAATGTGGTGGTGAAGGAGATGTGGCTTGAGATTGGGAATAACGAGTTCATCTCTCACCAACCAGTGAGAATCCCTCAGCCCCTCAGTTCCTGCCCCTTCTTGTGGGTGCTGTGAACACAGGCGCCCTCCAACCCTGGGGGACCTGAGGTTGTCACTGCATTTTTACTTAAAACTTTTTAAGTAAAAATGCAGCATATGAGACAGTTGCTGTTGATAGGGGCATGAACTGGCTTTCAGTGTTGCTGAGTCTTGCTCTTCAGAATGATCTGGGAGCATTTGTGGGGAGGAAGAGATAAAATGCCTCGAGATGCAGCATATTTAAACAGATTGGACCCCCAGCCACGCGGCAAGCTCCAGCCTTTACAGAGTCGCTCAGCACTAGGGAACTAAAGGCGAGAACAAGGCCATGAGAAGCAGAAGGTGCCGGGGTGCTCCAACCGGTCTCCTGCTCCAGACACTACCCGGGGCAGCGGACCGGGAGCCAGGCCCACGTTAGGTGAAGGCACCTGGGCCCTTCTCCCATCTGTCCAGGTTCCTCTGTTTCCCATTGGTTTGGAAAGCTAGAATTTAATGGAAAATACTACAGGAGTGAGAAAATATAAGCTCCAGTTTTGGGCAAAACGCTGCAGATTGCACGTCAATGAGGGATGCGTGCGTGTTTGCTGCTCGTCAAATGTTACCAAGACAGCGGCCCCCAGCATATGTGCCCATAT